ACGTGCTTCCTCCTCCTTGGGAGCTGCCGCCTTGACGCCTTCAATGGCGCCGGCGCAGAACCGCTCAGTCTTGTCGAGGCGATGACCCACCTCGAATCCAACGGCGCCTACCAGCTCACGAGCAAAGTCTCGAAAGCCCAACCGTATCGAGCGCACCGCTATGTCCTGGCTTCTGCTAAAGTCATATTGGTCTGCCTGAACCCGTGCTAGGCATGCAACGCTTCGAGCTATGACTCGCATTTGATTTGGGAGATCGGGCTGGGCGGCTAATTGCGCCTCTATATTCTTCACTTCCTCTAAGGCCTCTGCCGCCTCCGCTGCCTTATCAATTCTCCTCTTCTTCTCCCGCATTACCGCTAATTTCCATTCCATCCTCTTCTTGTCTTCCAATGCTTGACGTTTCAGAGGGTCTTTCTCTGCCTCCCAAGCCTTCATGGCGGCTTCTTGCTGATCCTGCGGGATGTACATACTAACCTCTTCCTCTTCTCCCACAGTCAGGTTGGCAACCCATTCAGATATCCTCTTCTCTAAGTCTCCACCGGTAGTACTACTGGGCTGCCCACTACTCCTTTGCAGTGGCGGTCCTTCCTCTTCTTCATCCACCTCCTTCAGCTTCTCTTCTTCTTCCTTTTTCAACTTCTCTTTCTCCCTGGCCATCTCTTCTTCCATCTTCTTTAATTTGGCCGCCTGCTCCTCCTTCAAGGCCTTCTTCTTGGCCTCCTTCTTCTCCTTCTTCTCCTGCAGAACGGCGGCCATCTTCTCCTTCTCCTCCTTCGTGTAAGGGGTGGTGGAAGTCCCACCACGAGTGGGCCCTACTCTACACGTGAGAGTGGGCCAAAAGCCCAGAGGAAAGAGGAGACGCCAGAGGGTCCCCCAGAGGGAGAACCCCGCAAGTAGCCCATACATCGGATAGTCATCCATCGTGGTGTTGGTGCACGASAGGGGTCCCACTCCTCACCACGTAGACCTACCCGGACACACTGACCTAYTGACTGACTCCCTAAGGGCCACAGGCAACTAACCCAAGACTACTCTAAGGCTGTCACTACAGAACCAAAAGCTGACCAGGAGGTATTTTAGAAGATCCCCCAACTTCGCAAGAATTCTTTAACGTCGCAGACAGGACGACGCGATCAGCCTGGTTCCTCTGGCGATTTCAGCCCACAACTCAGCCCGTCCAGCCTACCGTGCCACAGCGAGCAGTCCGCCGGTCTGTACCGGTCCTTGGAGGGGTTCGTATCCCTCGGGACAGTCGAGTCGTCAGACACAGATCATCAGCCTTACTAGGTCCGGTAGGGGAGTGGCTCAACCAGGCCTCAACACTTAAAGACGGCCTTCGTTTCAGCCTACAGCTCGGAGTTCAGACCCTCCACACTGAACTCAGTAGACCTGCCGGACAGTACCGGTCATTGGGCTAGACGAGTTGTTTAACGAGCGCTCGCCGCTCATGCCCAGGTCTCCAAGTGTCAGAGTAGAGGTCCTACTAAGCCCGTGCAGGTTTGGCAGCAAGGCCCTATCCTTCATCCACAGAGTCCTACTACCTAAGACAGAAGAGACTGAATGCAGAAAGAGTAGACAGACAACTCAGCAAGTACCGTGGGGTAAGTGCACATCCACAGTGTAAGGGGAAAGGCTGAAGGGTCAACGAGATATCACCAATTCCAGCTTGGTCAAAATCTTGGGCAGCAGCTCCGGTCAACGCCTTGGTCAATGCCGAGTCAACGTGGTCAACTCCGGTCAGCGCTTGGTCAACACCCCTGGTCAACGCCTGGTCAACCCTCGGGTCAACCCTCGGTCAACGGTCTGGTCAACGCCC